AAATAAAAAAGTCTCAGGAAGAAAAATGTCTACTTCTTTTGTCATAACATCCCAGGAAAGGAGATAATTTAAACCCATTCACTCTTGTTCTGTGTCAATTATTTACAGCTTGTTTATTCTATACAAGTCAAAGGGAGAGGTGATTTGCTATTTCAACTAAGTCCCCAAGGGATATGAATAGAAATACCAAAGAAAAACACCAGTCATTAGAGTTCACTCTCAAATAAAATCAATTCTACACCCCCAGGTAAAATGGTAAAATGGTGCCCAAGTTTCATTCTCTACATCTGAGTTCTAAAAATTAGTTATCTTGTCAGCTGGGGGGTAGGCATAAGAATCAAAGAAATAGGTAATTTTCACATTTCCTGAGCTATCTGGGCTAGAAAGGATACTCGAGGTCCACCTACATATTTGCTTAGGGTTTTTAAGAAGAGAGTACTATCCTCTTTCCAGGTGTGGAAGAAAACCATGCCTACCCTGACCTGAGACAGGGCAGCTCTTAGCTCCTCACTGGCTGCCACCATGACTATTTGGCCTATATTCTCAGCTCTAAATAGGGCTTCCAGAAATAGTGCTATTTGTGAGCTAAAAGTTGTGAGCAGGAAAGTTGAAGCTCTTACACATGAGGAACCAACCACTAGCACCTTGGAACTGTTAAAATATTCTAAAAACAATCAGAGTAAACTTAAGAGGTTTGGAGGATACAGGAGACCTCAAGGATCTGCAAACTAACCATGGCTCAGCTTAGGGGCCAGGTATAACCAACTGATCTGGGGATCAGTGCACGATCTGGGGATCTGTCAAATACTTGCCTTCCAAGAAGTTTAGGATGGCTGCTTTTACTCCCTTAACTACAAATCCTAGGACCAAAAGAAGTGAGACAGGTGACCACAACATAGGTGACGCAATGGGCAAAGATAAGAGAGGACCTTGGCTGAGATCAACAGAGGATCTGGATTGCACAAAATTTGGAGCAAGTGCTTACTTACCTTATGGGATGCTCCCTTGTGCTGGGCCACACGTTTTGTATTCTTGCAACACTGTGTGGCAGATAGTTCTGCTACCCGAACCTGCCCATCACGGGCACACATAGCCAGAGTAGAATCACCACTATTAGGAAGGAACTTGGCCTGAGGTGTTAAGAATGAGAAAAAGGACACACAAAAGAAATGGAAGAGGTGAATCTGAGAGGGAAAAATGCACTGATCCCAATTTACCACCTTTTCTTACATGACAGCTGGAAACTTAGCTTTCCTACTCTTGTACAGCTTGCTAAGCCCAACTTCTTCCAGTAGTTAAAGGAAAGGGAGAGAAAAAATTTCCTCTGATGTAAGAGAGCATTTTGGTTGGCTCTGGAAGGTTGAACTGGTACATGATAAGTGCTCAGGTGAACTAGAGCTATACCTAGTAGAGGAGAAAAGTAAGCAGTAAAAGAGGAAAATCCACCTTGATTCAGAAAGCAAACAAATTTGTCATAAATAAAAAGGAAACTAGGGGGAAATTTGCTGGAGAAGGAAAGGGAACACACTTATGGATAAATGGCTAGTATCACTATGGTAGATGGAGTTGAGAAATAAAACTTCCACAGAGTAGTTAACGATATGAGCTAATATTTAGCAAATGTTTATTAAGTACCAGCCATAGTTCTAACTGCTTCACTTTTATAACTATTTAATCCTCATAACCCTATGTATTATTAGTCCCACTTTACAGATAAACTGAAGACAAAGGTAAAATAACTTGCCCAAGATCACAGAGCTAGTAAGTGGAAGGGCCAGGATTTGAACCTAGGCAGTTTTGTTCAAGAGCCTGTGTTCTTATACTATACTGCCTCCTACCAGTACCCATTTAATACCTTCCTGATGAGTTCCAAGCATCCTACCTATAACAAGGCTTCCAGTGGTCCTTATTTATGCTCAAGGAAACAAATGGTCGCCATGGGGTCTTTCAGTGTACTGAAGTCATTATGGAAGCCACAGTAGGGGCAAGTCCTGATGTCTAATCCCTACAACTCACTTCCAGCTCCCATTCCAGGAAGCCGCTCAGATTTGTCTAACTCATGCCTGATTCTCTCAGTTACTATTACGCTACCCTGCCTCACCTGGAAGACATTACTTTTGTGGCCACTTTCAAAGTCCAGTACTGGCTGCCGCCGCACCCAATCCCACACCACCACCTTCAGGTCATCGCTGCCACTGGCCAGCCAGGTGCCGCGCTGGTTAAAGTGCAGGGTATTGACACAACCAGTATGGCCCTCAAGCCCATGCTGCAGGCGGAAACGCTGCACAAAGACTCTTGCCCCACAAGCCTCATATACAAAGCGGGCACTTGAACCCAGCTCACGCTCCCGAAGGGCAGGAAGGGCTTGCCAGCGAGGTCGGGGTAGGGCTGATGTTTCCGATGACACCCAGTCCTCTAGGGCCCGCTCATCATCTGATGAGTCCTGGTCACGGTTGGCCCGCTTGCGCTGTACATGGCGTCGAGGCTGCTCTTCTTCCTCCTCTTCTTCCTCCTCCTCTTCCTCTGAGCGGTCATGGACTCGGTTTTCATCATTGATGGAGTAATGGCCAGTGTCCTCCATGCTGTCCGAGTCCTTGTCTTCACCTGAGCTCTCTGTGTCTGTGCCTCGACTTTCTGTGCTGGTGCGGTTGGGGCCACCATCATCCCCAGTCAAGCTCAAACTCAGGTCTGAGGCCTCCACTTCAATGCCTGAGGATGTCTCCCTCCCCTCTTCAGCTCCAGACATTTCCTCTGGACTGCTAGACAGGCTTCCTGCATGTTAGTGAGGAATGGGTGGGTGAGAGGAAAAATAAGGAACTAGGAGAGTGACCAAAAGGATTTTTCACCTTAGTCTAAGAAATCATCACATCAAAACACCAAGAAACGAACTTTGGTCAAAGAGTTTTCATTACAAATACATATAAAGAGTACCTTCTTTTTTTTTTTTTTTTTATTATTTTTTTTTTTGTAACTCAGCTTACTTACATCATACTTTGAAGGAGTACTTTCTGAGGGGAAATCATGTAAAGGACAAGAAACTGAAAAGTTTAAGATCAAAGCCACACACAAATAAAGGTACTTCAAAAATGAAGAATCTTGGGTCAGGCGTGGTGGCTCATGCCTGTAATCCTAGCACTCTGGGAGGCCGAGGCGGGTGGATCACTCAAGGTCAGGAGTTCAAGACCAGCCTGAGCAAGAGCAAGATCCTGTCTCTACTAAAAAATAGAAAGAAATGACCTGGCCAGCTAAAAATATATACATAGAAAAAATCAGCCGGGCATGGTGGCACATGCCTGTAGTCCCAGCTACTCGGGAGGCTGAGGCAGAAGGATCGCTTGAGCCCAGGAGTCTGAGGTTGCTGTGAGCTAGGCTGACGCCACGGCACTCTAGCCCGGGCAACACAGTGAGACTCTGTCTCAAAAAAAAAAAAAGAAGAATCTCATGACAGTCTCAGATTATAAGTGTTCAAGAGACAAAACATTGGTGTATTGTATGAAATGTGCCTTATACAACCTTAGGCTCTGTTCTGTTGGATGGGCATCCATTAGTTATAGCAAATAATTAAACAGAATATAAGAAAAAAGAACAGTCATCTCCAGCAAGAGCTAGCATAGCCACCTTCTTAAGGAAAGATGGAAAATAACTGATAAAAATCACTCACGCCTGTAATCCTAGCACTCTGGGGGCCGAGATGGGAAGATTGCTTGAAGTCAGGAGTTCAAAACCAGCCTGAGTAAGAGAAAGACACCCATCTCCACAAAAAATAGAAAAATTAGCTGGGCATGGTGGCACTACCATATAGTCCCAGCTACTCAGGAGGCTGAGGCAGCAGGATTGCTTGAGCCCCAGAGTTTGAGGTTGCAGTGAGCTACGATGATGCCACTGCGCTCTAGCCAGGGCAACAGAGCAAGGCTCTGTCTCAGGAGGAAAAAAAAAATTACTGACTTATGAATGTGGAGTTGAAGCATTTCCTACTTTGAGAAAGCATCTCTATACCTAGATTTAGACGTAAACCTTGGATTTATGTTTAAATCCTAGGTTTCTTCCCGTAAATTCCTAAAATCTACTAAGAAAGGAAGTTCAAGGGGTAAGTGGAAATTGTGATCATTTCAATGTGGTTCTCACTCCCCTTTTGCTAGTATGAATGTATTCTGACTTACTTCCATTAGTTTACAATTTTTAGTCTCTTTATTTAGACAAGGTTTTATGAGGAGGCATATATAAAACTGATAAAAAGCAGGGCTATTACAGTAGTGCCTGAGAAGAAAAGTTCAGTATATTCTAGGTCTGCTATGTTGGTAGTTAAATAACTGGGTCACTTTGCCCCATCCAATCTCCTACAATTAGGATACTGCATTCTCTTATCTAACAACAGCCAAATCACATTACAGTGAGCACTTGGGTAATATCCTAGGGCCAACACAACCACAACTTCCAACCTAAGGTCAAGGTGTGAAGAAAGGAAAGGGAGAATGAGGATTTTAAACACTGTTCAGGGCCTCCTTTCCTAAGATGGCTATAAATTTTATGCTGCCAGAAGTAAAAGCTGTTAGGAAAGACAGACAAGCTGTGTGTGACTCTAGTATGAGCTATTCAACTAAAATACCACACTGATATTTAAGGTTTCAAAGTTGGAACACCTTAATGCCTAGTCGTTTGGATTAGTGCAGTAATTTGTGAAGATCTCTGAAGCAATGGAAACTCTTTTCAATGAACTCTTAGGCAAAATCAAATTTGGAAAACAAACAATGCAAGTGCTTTGGTTCAAGTAGTGACAGAAGGTTGGGAGACACATAAACAGCTCTTATCAAAACAAAAAACCTCAACCAAGAGCAGTGTGAAAACAAGTGGGCTAGGGGCTAGGAGAAAACAGAAATTTGAACCTAAGAACCACATTTGTTGAGACTGTTATATATGCTGAGAAAGTTTAATAGCCGTGGTTTTTTAAAATGCAATTCTGCTTGCGCTTAAGGGTGATTAGAAGGGATAAATACCATACCTAACAGGTGTGTGGAGAAAGAAAAATACAACATCAAAATTACCCTTGTCACCTAGTGGTTAGGAAGAAAGAAAAAAAAATTAAAAAATCAAAACTACTAGCATTTATTGTTAAAATTATGATTAACAAATTCAGATGATTTTGGAGGATCTACCATATTAACATAAGGGCCAGAATGTATCACAAGCTCAGCAAGAGAGCCCCAACAGTCACTGACCAAGATCTAGCACAGGGGCTGGCAAATTTTCTCCGTAAAGGGTCAAACAGTAAAAATTTTAGGCTTTGCTAACCATATGGAACTCTGTCACAACTACTCAATTCCACTACATAGAACAAAAGCAAACCATAGACACTACACAAATGAATAGGTATGACTGTATTCCAAGAAAACTTTACAAAAACAAGTGACAGGCTGGATTTGGCCTACAGGCTATAGTTTGCCAATCCCTGATCTAGCTAATGGCCAACCTCCAAATCGATAGCATACCTCGAACTCCTCTAGAACCCTGTACCTCTCAACTAAGCCCAGTGAAAAATCTGAACCACTTTCCTTTACAAAAAATGAATGGTAGTGATAAGAAAATAACAAGGGGACAATAAAAAAGTATGTTGAAAATCTCACCTACTCTTCCTCAACTTCAATGCTCCACCAATCACATCAACTAAAATGTAGCCTATAATCCTGAACTTCAAAGTGCTAAGAAACACTAGACTCTGTGCTGCCCAACTATATCCATTTGAAGGAGATTTCTCTAGTTTAAAAGTTGGCTCAGCACTGGTCAAATAACTCAGGTAGCAGCTATAATGTATTAGAAACTTGGTATTCTACCTTCAAATCTGCCCTAGACCCAGTAATTTAACACTTGGCAGCACTGGCCCTGAAAAAACAAAGAGGGAAAGAAGGGAAGAAAAAGAAGGAAAGGCACGGAAGGGAGGAAGCCCTAATCCCAGTTGGTTTGGATTGCAACTTCATCTTTTACATAATATCTCTACCAAGCTATGACCTATCATGGAAAGGGACCTCTCAATATAACTGGGGAACTACATCTTCCTCAAAACTCCCTTGTTCCCACTACCAATTGGATCTTATTTTTCTTCTTTATTAATAGCATCTCCTAGGTTCTGCCCATTGTATATCCTTTCAGAATTCCAAACCACTTGACCTCTTATAAGTACAGCTCTGGGCAAGGCATGGTGGCTCACATCTGTAATCCTAGCACTTTGGGAGGCTGTGGCAAGAGAATCACTTGAGCCCAGGAGTTTGAGACCATCCTGGGCAACACAGCAAGACCTCATCTCTACAAAAAATTTTTAAAAAATTAACCGGGCATGTTGCCTGTAGACCCAGCTACTTGGGAGGCCAATGCAGGAGGATTGCTTGAGCCCAGGAGTTGGAGATTACAGTGAGGTACAATGATGCCACTGTACTCTAGCCCAGGCAACAGAGTGAAACCTTGTCAGAAAGGAGGGGAGGGGAGGGGAGAGGAGGGGAGGAGTACAGCTAGCTCTGTTATTGATCTTCTGAAAACAATCAGATAAAATTTGAAGGAGCGAAAGCGCCAGATAGCCCAAGATGTTTCCTGTGTGGTTTCCTATACTCAAAACAACATGGGAAGGGCTCCTTCCCTCTACTAAAATCCAGGTCTCCACTCTATCTTGGGGGGAGGTGGGGGAGGAGGAGAACCTCAGCTGACAGGAAAATTAGCTTCACCTTCATTTTGGCCCCTTACCATTAGCTAAGTCTGTTTTGCCATCTGTGCTGCTCCCTTTGCTGGACATCTTGAATGATGTTTGCTGTAGCCAGCCTGAATTTGGGAGAGGAAGAAAATAAAACAATTAGGAAACGACCTGGGAAAGATGACA